GCAGATGCCCATCTGTTGTGCACCCGGGGCTGGGCTCCATCCCTGGGACCCGGTTAAAAGGAAAGAGCATCAGTGCTCAAAACCTCCTCTGGGAACAGATTTAAGATCAACACTTTGCCCGCCTCCCCCAGGACGGGCAGGACGGGACCCCGGCAGGCACCCTCCCATCCACACCCTGCTCCTGGGACAGGTCCCTGGGGTCCCAGACCCTGGCGGCTCAGCCTGCAGCTCCAGCTCCCGGTGTCCACTCACCCGATGCCTTTGATGGACTTGACGTAGATGCTCAGCTGCAGCTTCACAGAGCAGTTCATGGGGATCCCCGTGACCTGTGGAGAGCACACAGTGAGGACATGTCCCCGGGTTAGGTCGGTGGCGGCGACTTGGTGGCAACTTAGAACAAAGCAGCCCGCACCGGAAAGCATATCCATCAGATGCCGGCCGAAACGCCTGTCAATCAGCAGGACCCCCTGGCCCATCCTGGAGTTCAGCCAACTCCCCTGACCAACTCCAAGGGGGCAAGGGACCCTAGAGACACCTTTTCCTGTCCCAAGCCCTTCCCTTCCTGCTGTAAGCCCCATAAAAGTCCAGTCCGGTCGAGCTTCCACGCGGTTTCTCCTCAGACCCTTCCCCTGTCCCCTCTGTGGGTCTGATGGAGTTCCGCCTGAGAGTGACATCTCAATAAAGACCCCCCCACCGCCTGATCTGACACCCGGGGCCAGCCGCTGCCCAGGGGGCTTGCTGTCATCAACCTCGGGCGAGCAGCTGGCTGGGGGCCTCCCACCCTGTTCCAAGCACTGATGGGGGCTTCCCAAACAGCCCTCGTGCCCATGACGTCAAGGTCCCCTTGGTAGAAGGGACCGTCACTGGGTGGAGGAGGCCTGACCCTTTCCATCTGTCACCTTAAGGCCCCAGATGGCGCACCTGGGCTGCCCCCTCCCAACCCACACCCAGCCATGGGGGCATCGTCCTCTGGGTCTGCTCCCCACTCCTCCGTCACCCAGAGGGAAAGCCTCGGCAAGGCCTGCGTCCCGGCTCTGCGACAGCAGGCGGGCTTCCCTCTCCGCCAGAACTGGCCTCGGCCAGCACGGGGCAGCGACCACATTTCACCCAGAGCCCAGGATGGCTGTCCCGTTTGGTTATACGGCGTCACCTCCTGGTTTTTGGCAGGCTCTCGTCA